CTTCAGAAGCTACCTTTCTCTCCACAGGTAATCCCACCGGGCCCCAAGACTTTAAATAGTATTACATTTGACAAAGACTATAGTTTCAGGGATCATTTCTATAGTTTGTTACATCTGACAACTCACGAAATTACTGTGCAGGTGTCTTCCCTGAATTCCATACTTGTATATCCAACCAACATTTTAATCAATCTTCTTAGATATCTAACAGGCATTTCCAACTCCTAATCTCCATGCCATCCGTCTCCCAACTGTTCCTTCCACAATCTTGACCTCAGTAAATCAAAGCTCTATTCTCCAAATTACTAATATTATAAGGTTGAAAAACATTACAGACTCCTTTCCTTCCTTCACACTCTACAACAGACCCATTAACAACACTTTTGAGTTTACTTTCAACATCTATATACAAACTAACCACTTCTCAAATCCTCCATTGCCATAACCTGAAGGAAGCCACCATCAGCTCCCATCTGGGTTATTCCACTAGCCTAACAGGTCTCCCTGCTCTGGCTCACATTCTTAAGACAATGGTAGAGTCTTCATTTTGCTCATGTCTCAGAGCCTTTCAATGGTGAGCCCTTCCCACTCCTTAATGGCCCAGGGCCTTCCCTTGGCTTTCAAGGCCCTCCCTGAGCCAGTTTCCCATTCCCTCAGGGATCCTCTTACCACTGTTTCTTTCAAGGGCTCTGCTCCAGTCTCATTGTTTATTCTTGGAAAGGCCAAACAAGTTTAGGACCTTTTGTCTTAGCTATTACCTTTGCCCCAAACAGTCTTATCTGGAATCTACAAGACTGGCTTCCTTTTTTCCTCAAGTATCTACTCAAACACTGTTACTAAGTGAGGCTTTCCCTGACACCCTCTGCAAAATATAACACCACTTGATCATGTTCCCTTCATTCTTTTTTTTTTTTTGGGGGGGGCAGGGGCAGCAGGGGGAGGTACCAGGCATTAAACTCAGGGGCACTTGACCACCGAGCCTCATCCCCATCCCTATTTTGTATTTTATTTAGCGACAGGATCTCATTGAGTTGCTTAGCCCCTCGCTTTTGCTGAGGCTGGCTTTGAACTTGCAATCCTCCTGCCTCAACCTCCTCAGCTGCTGGGATTACCGACATGTGCCACAGCGTTGGCTCCCTTCATTCTTTAACCTGTTTTTATTTTTTCCAAATCATATATTAACCTCTGACATACTAAATATTGAATTTTAAAATTTGCTTCCTGGATCTTTTCACCAGTTGTAGACTCTACCCCAGTGCTTTGCATACATTTTATTGTTACCTTCTTGAAGCTTTCTTCTCTTGGTTTCTAGGTCACATTTGCTCTGACTCTCCTATTATCTCACCAGCTAGTACTTTTCTGTTTCATGCTGGTAAATAAAAAAGGGAGGGAAGGTGTAACATACATCTTAGGAAGATAAAAGGTCTTCTATGCTAAGCTGGGTGGGATCTGTTGCAGCATGATCACCGGACAACCATTTATTTTCTAGGGAGCGAGATATTTAGCCCCCAGTGAAAGCTCAGAACTTGTGTTCTGTGTGTACAGATGAGACACCTGCAGTATAATAGCCAACGTATGAAAATACATTACCTTTGTCCTACTGGAAAGAAAAATTACTTCCTAACAGAATTTTCAAATTTATCTTTTTTTGCTTCGACCAACGGAAAAAATGTTTAAAATTGAAGGATGGGATTGTAGGTCAGTGGTAGAGCGCTTGCCTTGCATGTGTGAGGTACTGACTTCGATCCTCAGCACCACATAAAAATAAATAAATAAAATATTGTGTCCATCTACAACTAAAATAAAATATAAAATTGATTTCACCATATAGTTATAAGAACTATGAATGAATTTCTAAAACGTTTATTTTATGAAATGATTAGGTAGCTTCTAATATATCTGGTCATGAATAATAGATAAAATTATAATAAGAACGGGAAAATTAACATTTTTCTACCACAAAATCAAGGTTGACTAAATTTAAAGAATATTGAAAAATGTTTCTGATGAAAAGAAAAATAAAAAGAAACTACAAAACAGCATTTTCCCTCATTAAACAAAAATTATGTTTTGGACTGAGCTTCTATGCTATGATCCAACAGGTCAGACCACCAAACCAAAATGGAGCCCCTTATACTAAATAATCAAATGGAAACTTTAAGGATGTTATTAAAAACAGGCTAGTTTTTCCTGAAAATAGATTTTGGTTTATATGAGTCAGTATAATAAGGAAGTCCCCCTTACTTTGACCTTTACTAAAAAGTGAATAGCAGTAATCTGACATTAACCAATCAGGTTTTTTTTCCTATTATTTTTGTTTCCTTGTTACACCTTATAAAACCAACTCTACCCAAGGTACAGTGGTGCTTGTCTGTAATCTCAATGATTCAAGAGGCTGAGGGAGGAGGATTGCAAGTTTGAGGCCAGGCTTGGCAACTCAATAAGACTGTGCCTCAAAATTAAAAAGAAAAAGGGTTGGGGATATAACTCAGTGGTGAAGTGCCCTTAGGTTCAACTTCTGGTACCAAACAAACACCACACACACTTACTCTTTGCTTTTTTCCAAGAAGAACTTTTATTCTATTTTGTAGAATGGAAGCTGTCCAATTCATTAATCACAAATAAACTCCTATTCTACCTATAATTAAATTAGTTGTAATCTTGTCTTTTGACACTTCTAAATGTTGTTCTTGGCTAAACTTTTAAGGAATGAACAAAGAATTGTCAGATTAGAGAAAAAATAAGTAGAAATAATATGTTCAACATGCAAACCTAGACTATGTCTTAGACTAGGAAAAAAATTGGAAAAATTGATGAAGTCCAAGTAGAGTCTATAATTTCATTAAAAAGCAAGCAAGCAAACAAACAAAAAACACCAAAACAGAATATCTCCATTCAGAACATGAAATCCTTTCTCAGCATTTTGCGCACATCTTCTGTGTTAGTATCTACCGAACCTGAAAGTTCTATACCAGTCAAGACACACCCTTCCAAGACTGAATAACTTTTATTGTTAGAAGGTTCTTCCTTGTATTTTGTGGTGTCACATTCCTTATAACTTAATGCACTTCAGTTCTTCCTTCTAGAACTATGTATATTATAGTCTAATTCCTCTTTTACTTGACCATCACATATTCTACATTCTGTCTCAAGTTTCTTTTTCAAACTTAACATATTCTGTTCCCTTCTATGATTTTTACCCAACCATAATTTTTTTTTGGGGGGGGGAGTTTTGGTTTTTTTACAACAATGGTTTTTACAACCATTATCATTACTGTCACACATTTTAAAAATCTGGTTTGTCAAATGACCTTAAGTATCAATACTCAAAACCAAACATTAGTATAGAGAATTTCAAACCATTTCTCTTCTTGTTCTGGACACTATGCTCTGTGCCCAAAACTGTCCTCCTCTTTTAGCAGTTATATCACATTATTGGTTGTGAATGAATTCTCAAATCAACAGTTCCACAGTCTTTTCTATATAGAATATTCCTATGAAGGAACTGTCAGGATGGGAGACCATCACCCTATTCTAGTCTCTTAATAACAAATAATTTGAATGCTAACTATGTGCCAGACAATTGCAATTCTATGTCTACCTATGCTTGACTTGTGATAATCTGAATATTTGTATCTCCCTCAATCCATATGCTGAAATCCTAACCACCACAATCATGGAATTAGGAGGAGGAATTTTGGGAGTTGATTATGTTATGAGGGAACAGTCCTTATGAATAAGAATAATGCTTTTATGAAAGTGATCCCAGAGAGATTACTGGCTTTTTCCCCCATGAGACATTACAAAGAAAAGACCACTGTGCAGGAAGTAAGTCTAACCAGACATGGATTCTGCCCAGGCCTTCATCTTGGCTTTCCAATCATCCAGAACTGTTAGAAATAAATTTCTGGGGTTGGGGTTGTAGCTCAGTGGTAGAGCGCTTTCCTAGCATGTGTGAGGCACTGGGTTCAATCCCTGGCACCACATTAAAAAAAATAAAAATTAAAAATAAAGGTATTGTTCGTCTACAACTAAAAAAAATAAAAATAAAAAAGAAATAAATTTCTGTTGTTTATTAGGCACCAAAGTGATAGCATTTTGTTATAATGGCCCCAGTGGACTAAGACAATGTTCCAAATCTTATCAAAGAACTAATTTCATAAATACTTATAAAAGGCTGAACTAACAGAAATTATACAAAGTAATCCCAAATCATCATCCAACTAATAAACCTAAAGTCTTGTACAATAGCCTCTTGAGGGTAAATCATCGCTATAAATCTATTTGCCCATACTTACGTGGGATAATTCAATGTTTTCTCAGCCCTGTGAACTTTTATTTATTTTTGCTCCTATCAGAATCATACTGGCAGGTGGTAAAATTAGATGTACATAGTATCCTATGCATTTCAATTGAGAAAGCCACCTGGTCACATACACACATTTTAAACCTGTCCTGCACCACCTTCAGAAAACCAAGCGTCAGATCTGAGTTTTCCAATAGCTTTTCCAGGGCTGGAGTCATCTATGATCAAAGCCAACTCATTACTTCCTTACATCTGGACATAATCAATCTATTTTCTGACCTCTCACCCTCAACATGCCCAAATCCCTTTGAAGTCAAAGCATTAGTCATTTTTGTCAGGTGTAAAAAACATTCATAGCATGTGCACTTCGATGCTCTGATGTCCACAATGTGTAAAATCTGAAACATTCAAAGATCGCTTAAATCCCTACAGTTGCAGAAAGGGCCTTGATTTAAAAATAAATAAATAAACATTTGCAAGGCAGTTTCCTCATATTTATTTGTCTCCTTGAGGACAGAGGGTTCCTAACTCAGAAACGGGATGCCACCAACACTGGGTCACCTCACACAACCCCTAATACCAAGTCCAGAGAGGCGGCTGGCAGGCCTGGAGCTAGGGCAGGCGCTGACTCCCCAGGGAGTGACAGCACTTGCAGAGACCCCMCACACACCCTGCCCACCCCGCGACCCCTTACCTCTCTTGTCCAGGAGCCACATGAACGCGAAGCAGGGCAGGAAGCCAATGGGCCCCCACAGCACAAGCAGCGCGATGTCCCAGCTGGAGAAGCCATAGGCCTGGCGCGCCGAGTTCTGGATAGGGCCCCAGGTGTTCCAGACCAGGCCCTGCGCGAACGCCAGCAGCGAGAAGAGCAGCAGCACCAGCCAACGGCGCCCGTACACCCGTCCCGGACCGGGGCCAGCGGCGGGCAGCGCCACAGCCACCGCCGCCGCCTCCCGGTTCCTGCGCGCAGCCCCGGGCCCAGGGCCGAGCCCGGGCCCCAGTAGCGGCTGCCGCTCCTCGTCGCTACTCCAGCCTGCGCCCATGGCCACGCCGCCCGCCGGCCCCTGCCCGGAGCAGACTCGGTGGCCGCCTACCAGCCCACTCAGACGCGGCGGGAGGAGCCCCAGTCGGAGATGCTGTGGTCGCCCTCGGCCTCCCGGCCGTGCCTGGTGCGCCTGCGCCACCCGAGCCGGTGGGTGGGGAGGCGGGGGGAGGCTGAGGTCCGCCCCGCCCTCAGGCACTGCGAGCAAACACCCGCACGTGGAAGAGCTGGGGTCGCTATGAGAGGACCGGGAGGAATTGTAAAGGCAAAGAGGAGCCCGGTTGGCCCGGGAGAGGGAAACTCCCAGGRAAACTGCAGTAGAGGAGATTAGGCAAGCCACCCGGGGGTTGCTGGAGGAAGTGCCGAAGTTTGCATCATGTGCCTAATAAACAACTCGGTGACCTCAGGCCACKTAACCTAATGCTTGCTACTATATTGGGTTTAGTTTTATTTGGTTTATAACTTCAGAAATTATGGGGGGGGGATTGATGGAATAAGATCGAAGTATAGGAGCGTGCCAGGGGATGGTATTACAAAAATGATATCTTGTGCCTTTGTTTTTGTAAATAAGTACTACCTAGTATAATGTGTCACCTTTTTGTCTTACATATCCAATGCCACATGTAATATTTTTACCCATTTTGTCTATCACTTAATAGGCGAACAGTAAGATTGTGTTAAGGTTGTAAGATTTCTGCCCCAAAGTGACCTAGATCCATCTTCGGTTATGATTTTGAACAGACTAAGGGTAAACAAGGAAAAAACTGGGGGGGTTGTTGATCTCTTGACCAGGCAGCCACTTGTTTGTTTGTTTTGATATATAAATCCAGAAGCCTGACAGCTGTCAGAGTCCTTAAGAACTCAAGTGGAGCAATTTGGCKTGTCTGGATCGGGAAATGAGTCACAGGGAGAGCAATCAAAGGACACTCTGCCCGAGGTTCGTATTCCCGGCAGTCACAAAAACGAGATGGAGTCACGCTGCTGCCGGAAGGGGCAGAGAAGTGAAAGACAGTCACTGTGCTGGTCTCCGCGGCTGGTCAGAGTGGCTGCAGGGACAGCGAACGCACAGACCAGGCCCACCGCCAGGAGCCCCGCAAAACAACAAACCACCCCCTAGGACTCCAGTCCTGTGGGGTGGGGAAAAGCCAAGGAAGGATCTGACTAGAGGACGAAAGACTGAGCGAAAGAAGCTAAGGTCTGGAGGATGTGAGGAGCGCCACAACTCAAACCACGCCTTCGGTGCTTGGGACCAAAACAAACCCGCGTGGCCCCGCCCAGAGCTGGTCACGTGAGGCCGCGGCGGCGGCGGCGGTTCCGGCGAAGCTGGTGGAGCAGCTGCGACTCCTTCCTGTGGTGCTGCTGAGGACCCCAGGCGGGCCCTGCGCGGACTCCACTGCACTTTCACTCCACTGGGTTCTGGCGGAGCAGAGGCGGCCTCGGGCTCTCCATGGCAGCGGGCTCAGAGGTGAGCTCTCACCTTACCCTGGAAGCTACAGCTGCAGGGAACCAAGGTAGGTGCCAGACTGAGGTCATCCCCTAAATGCAAACCCGGTCCCTAGGGATTCACTGGGCTCCTCTCTTGTGGCCCTTTGAGATTAGCCCCATCCCAGGTCTCTCCCGCCTTGCATTCAATTATGAWGAAAAAGAACTTGTTTTCATAAATGGGAGTTTTCGCATATTGTGGTATCCAGTTTTTTGATCGTTGTACAGAAATCCTAGGGCAGTGCTGTTGCACAAGGGCGTTCTAATGTTAGAGTGGACTAAAATTAAATTTGTGAAACTGGAGGTTAGGGGAAACAGTGTGGGACTCTTGTGAACAGGGATCATGGGCTTTTTATTTGTTTTCTGTGGAACCTTGGTTTAGTGAATGGGTGAAGTTTGCTGGCCCAGGAGCTGGAGTTTCCTGCTAGCATTTAATGAAATGATTGCTCCTTGCATGGGCCCTGTTCTGCAAACTGTCACAGGATCCAGAAACTTTTAAATGTTTATAACAGAGCATATCCCGAGAACTCACASTGAATAAAGGAACCTGGAAAGAATGCTATCCATAGAACACACTCACTCAGTGACAGTTGTTACCATGAAGAGGGATCCCAGTGGGGGGAAAAAATATTTCAAGGAGGGAACAGTTTGAGGTGAATGTTTATGATTGGACAGGATAGTGACAAACTCTGGTGCTGGTGCTGGGAGCTCTGGAAGACAGGGAGCAGAAAAACACAAGATGATGTATTTGGAGATCAAATAGTTTATCCAGAGGTGTAGATGCCCATTCCCACCTGAAGGAATAAATCATAACCTCCTACTCTCTTGACTTCTTTCTCCTGCCTTTATAGCTCATTTGCTTATGTACCCCAGGAGACAATTCCTGAACTTCAGTTATACCTCCAATCCATTGACCCTTCCATTGTTATACACTGCACTCTGACCATGTTTGAGGGCATGTCATAGTTTATCATTATGAGTTCTTTCTTGAAAATACACTATTCTCTTGGCCCTCCCTGCATTTTATTCTGACAAAATTTACACTGAATGAACGCACCCTTTTGCACTCTCTGTATCTACACCTGTCTAGCTGAACATTGCTGGAAAAATTCTGCATGGACCTGTGGATGTAGCTCCAAGGCAGAGCACTTGCCTACCATAGGGGAGACCCTGGGTTCYATCCCCAGCACCAGTTGATGGCAGTATAAAAGGAGAATGCTTAAGCTCTTGAATATTCTTTCAGGATRGACCTGAGATTCTTTTGATGCTCCTTTCTAACTTTCTCCTTTGACAGTTYCCTCAATTTTAACTCCTTTTGCCATCTCTTTCATGTTTATAACTCTATAATTCAGCTAATGACCTTTTAAGTCAGGACAGTTCTTCATCTAGTCTATCTTCCTTTTATCCTCCTGCATCATCAGATCCTAGATCAAATCATCTATATTTTTTACCTAAACCCCTAGTATATCTTCCTGACCAGTGTCCCTGTTTCCTAACTTGTGCCCCTCCAATTCCTTCGGTGTTCAGCAGCTGACATTTTTTTAAGGAAGACAAGGATGTGGCTCAGTGATAAAAGGCTTGCCTAGCATGTTCAAGGTCTTAAGTTAGATCCCTAGCATAACCAAAAAACAAAATGTGACACTCGCTTACTTAAATATTTTGAATTAATTTCATTGCACTTAGAACCTAGAATAAATGTCAAATTTCTAACTATGCCCTACAAAAATGTTTAGTTTAGGTTCTGCCAACTTTCACTCACCTCTTCCTACTTTTCACATAGCTGACTTCTTCATGTGTCAGAGTATGTCAGCACCTGAGTTCTTCCCAGACCAATCTATCTAAAACAGTCTGTGGGTGTCCCCCCCCTCCACGCCCCTAGATGTTTTATAATGCAGCATCTATTTCATCATTTTACTATTACCATCTGTAATTACTTTTTTATTCCATTTGACCTTGAATACTTAAGGGCAGGACCTATATCTGCTTCATTCATCACCGTGTGCCCAGTAACAGGGAAAGTATCGGGATATAATATTTTGTTGAGTGAATGAGTAAGAGATCTCTGTACCAAGTCTAGAGACAAGAGGAGAAAGCGTGTTGACATAATCCAAGAATCAAAAGAGATTGCTATGAGAAGTGGTGAAAAAAGAGGAATCCCAAAGGTCACATTATACCATTTAAGAAGCCTGACCTTTAAAACAGCAGGAAGCCTTTGAAGAGGTTTAGTTAGGGGAGTAATGTGATCAGCTGTAGTTTTAGGAAGATCACTCTGGCTGAAGGGTTGCAGAAGAAATTGTAGGGAGTATTTAATCCCTCAGTGCCTCAGTTTCCTCTTCTATGAAATGCATGATAATTGTGAAAATTGAAAACGATATATGTTCATCCAGCATAGTATCTGGCAGGATTAGATATTCAAGAATGGTGACAATTTTTATTAGTAATAGACAGTGCTAGCCTTGGTGACCAATAGGAAATTGGGAGGAAAAAAGAGAAACTAGGTGTAAGTTTGGAAGCTGAAGAACAGTAGGTAGTTGGAAGCAATGTTGAGTTTTAATATGAATGCATAGAGGGTAAGTACAGGATGATGATGCAGAAGAAGGTCAGGTACACAAATGGGAAAGAGGAGGTTTGGGGTTTTTTTTTAATGTATAGTATGCAGGTATCATAAAATTCACCATTTTATAGCTTACAATACAATCCAGTGGTGTTTAGTGTGTTCACAAGGTTGTATAACCATCACTATTTTAATTCCAAAACATTTTCATCGCCCCCAGAAGAAACATGTTCCCCATTAGCAGTCACTGCTCACTACCCCTTTTCCCAGTCCAAGGTAACCATGATCTCTCTTTCTCTATGTTTTTGACTATTCTGGACATTTTATATAAATGGAATCATACCATGCATGGCATTTTGGTTTTTTTTTTGTTTTTTTTTTATTATTATTATTTTTATTGGTTGTTCACGACATTACAAAGCTCATGACATATCATATTTCATACATTAGATTGAAGTGGGTTATGAACTCCTAATTTTACCCCAAATGCAGATTGCAGAATCACGTCAGTTACACATCCACAATTTTACATAATGCCCAATTAGTAATTGTTGTATTCTGCTACTTTTCCTATCCCCTACTATCCCCCCTCCCCTCCCCTCCCATCTTCTCTCTCTACCCCATCTATTGTAATT